GAAACACTTAAGCATACAATGCTGGTATGTAGCCTCAGCGTTCTTCAGACCGAACGGCATTGTGACATAGCAGAACGATCCGAAGGAGGTGATAAAAGATGTCATGAGCTGGTCAGACTCTTTCATCGTGATTTGATGTACTCGGAGTACGCATCAAGGAAGCAGAGGGTTTCGCACCCTGAGGTAGAGTCAACTATCTGGTCTATGCGCGACAAAGGAAACAGATCCTTTGGGCATGCTTTGTTGAGACCCATATAGTCAACACACATCCTCCATTTCCCACTCTTCTTTTGTACAAGAACGGGGTTGGCTAACCACTCTGGGTGGTACACTTCCTTGATGAATCCAGCCGCCAAAAGCTTTGCGATCTCCTCACCAATGGTCCTGCGTTGCCCCTCATTGAAGTGACACAGGCATTGTTTCACTGGCTTGGAGCCTAGGTGGATCTTCAAGGCATGCTCAATGACTTCCCTCAGAATGCCTGGCATGTCTGAGGGTTTCTATGCGAAGATGTCTCTGTTGGCGCGGAGGAAGCCGACGAGCGCGCTTTCCTATTCGGAGGAAAGCGTGGTACCAATGCACACCGTTTTTCCCTCAGTGCTCCTGGGGTCTATGAGGACCTCCTTAGAGCCTTCCGCTGGCTTGAAGGACCTGGTCGACCTTTTAGGGTCGAGCACTTCTTTGGTGACCTCTTTTCTAATGTCCGCGAGCTCTCTAGAGCCTACGATCGCTGCGGCGTGATCGCAGCACTCGACTTCGCACTCGTAGGCGCGCTGAAAGGAGGTGCCAATGGTGATGACCCTGCCTAGGCCTAGCATTTTTAGCTTGAGGTAGGTGTAGTTGGGGACGACAATGAACTTCGCATAGCATGGTCTTCCTAGGATGGCGTGGTAAATTCCGTGGAACCCCACCACTTCAAAAGTGAGCGTCTCCGTCCTGTAGTTGGATGGACCCCCAAAGGTGACAAGGAGATCTATCTGCCCAAGCGGCATGGCCTGCTTTCCAGGCACGATGCCATGAAAGGGCGCTCCGGTTGGCCGGATGCGTGCTCGGTCAACGCCCATAGCGTCGAGCGTCTCAACGTACATGATATTGAGGCCGCTGCCTCCATCCATCAGTACTTTGGTGAGCCACTTCATGCCGACGATTGGGTCGACCATGAGCGGGTATCTCCCTGGCTAAGGGATGCTCTCCGGGTGGTCGGTCCGATCAAAGGTTATAGCGGACTTTGACCACCGGAGGAAGGCAGGTGTGGCTAGTTCGGTCGCATAGACCTCGTGGCGTGCGATCTTCTGGCGACGCTTAGAGTCATAGACCTCTGATTCTCCGAAGATCATGAGGCAGCCATCCAGTGTTGGAAAGCCATCGTCCTTCCCCTCGGCATCGTCCTTGGTAGAGTCAGGGTCCTTCCCATGCTCCCCTTTGTTGGAGCCTCCGGACAAGAACCACTTCATGAGGGCACAGTCCTTGTACAGATGCTTGATGGGGAAGACATGGTTTGGACATGGCCCCTCGAGTAGTTTTTAGAAGTGGTTTGGAGTGCCATCTGTGGGCTTCCGACCACCCCTGTAGTCAGCGGCAACCATGAGAGAGCCCTCACGCCATTGCTTCTTGTTCTTTTTTTTGGCGGGACAGTTGGAGGTGCCTTCATCAGCGTCCTCGTCCCGCCTCGCCTTGCCATTGAGGCGATCGAAGATCGCTCCGATCGCTTCTTCGCCCGAGGCATGGCTGGTGGCGATGTCAAGGAGTTCCTTGGTGGTTCGTGAACCCTTGCGTCCTAGCTTGTGAACCAGGGACTCGTAGGTGGTCCCGGATAGGAAAGCCCCTATAACATCAGCGTCGGCGACGTTAGGCAGCTCATTGCACTACCGGGAGAAGCATCGGATGTACCCACGGAGGGTTTCTCTGGCCTTCTGTCGGCAGTTCTTGAGGTCCCATGGGTTCCCAGGGCACTTGTATGTGCCCTGGAAGTTTCCCATGAAGATCTCCTTCAGGTCCGCCCAACTCAAGATTCTGTTGGACGACAGGTGTTCCAACCATGTTCGTGCCGAATCGGTCAAGAATAATGGAAGGTTGCGGATAATGAAATCGTCATTATCTGCACCACCGGCTTGGCAGGCAAGCCGATAATCCTCGAGCCATTGTCCAGGGTTCGTTTCCCTAGAGTACTTTAGGATGTTGGTTGGTGGTCGGTACCTTGGCGACAAGACAGCGTTGACGATGTGACGACCGAAGGCCTGAGGCCTCGGCAGGCCAGGGCTCGAGCTTCGGTCCTCACCACTGTCGTAGCGTCCACCATGGCAAGGGTGATAGCCGTGGCTAGCTCCCTCTCTCGAATCATCATGGGTACGCCTACGAGCGTCGAGGGTGTTGCGTGCGTCACAGTTGCGGCCGAGACGCTGATGCACCGGGACCGCGGCATGCCGCCCACTGCTGTGTGGCACCTAGTGGACCGACGCATCCCTACTGAGATGCTCTGAGAGTGTGCGCTGGCTGGCGTCAAGCTCGCGTCGCCGAGACAACGAGCTCTTGGCCTGCTGCGTCGCCGCACGCTCGAGCAACATGCGAATCTCGCGGTGGGCCTGACGATCCTCGGGCGTCGTGGCCTCTGGAAGGCCATGGAGCAAGGCCACTGTGGCGGCGATGTTTTGGCTCTCCCAGACGAAACGAGGGAGGGCTTCATCATTGGCAATGATCCTTTGATTCACGTCGCGGGCCATGGCGCGTGCGCGCCCGCCGTCTCCGTGGCACTCGATTTCCCGATCAAGCTCCGTGCATTCCTGCTCGAGCTAGAGCCGTGCTTCCTCGATCTCTCAGTGTCGGGCTTTTAGCTGCTTCACCTGCATGTGAGGTGGGGCCACTGTCTCCCCCTCGGCCTCGTCGTCGAGGTTGTTCGCCGGGGTAGCCTCCTCCTTGCGGATGCTTTCGACGTGTCCCTCAGGGGTACTCATCTTGAAGCATTCGCGAGAGGGGTGATGTCTTCCCCTGCTGGAGTCAGAGCCAGAGGGCTCCTCTGGCTCCTCTGTGAGGAGGTCATGGAAAGATTTCGTGACGTGTTCGATCACCCCCATGAATTCATCATTCGTGGGAGGTGGAATCATGCGTTGTGCCACAAGGTGGCTAACGGTCCCTGCGGTGTTGCAGAGACTGAATGGAAGCACTGTCAGAGTGCTCCGTATGAGGTGTTCCGGAGAGAGGGGTTCCCCTCTGGCGAGCCACGCCATGTCGTTGGCGTAAGAGGAGGTGAGGTGGCGTGGGTCCTCTCTAGACAGCTAGGGTCCTAGGGAGACATCGAGCTAGCACTCAAGCCTCTCGTAGTCGAGGCCGATCGAGGGGAGAGGTTAGATAGCGGCGTGAGCCAATGCCAACTCTCCCCCCACCGTGATGATGAAGTCCAGGTCCCCGAAGCGCACGTGTGCGTCCGAGACCCAGCCGATACCATGGCTAGCCATCAGTGGCCTAATGTTAATGTCGAAACGCGCAAAGGTCCCCTACCTGGCGCGCCAACTGTCAGTGTTTCGAGTAAACACCAACGAGCAAATTTGTGTTATTGCGCGTCTGACACGGATGGTGTGCTAAAAAGACACAAGGTTTATACTAGTTCGGACAGAATGTCCCTATGTTCAGTTCGTGGCTGTTGCTTGTGTTATTAGCACTGAAAAGTTCATAGTAGGGGTTATAAAAGGGCGAGAGAGGGAAAGGTCTTAAGTCTCTAATGGAAAGGTCGAATAGGTGCTGAGAGCTTGGTCGCTGCTCAGCTATGTGTGATGTGATGCGTGGTGTGTTGAATCGATCCTCTTGGTGTGGTGCCCTGCTTTCCCTTTTATAGGCCGAGGGAGAGCAGGGATTATAGATGGGAGAAAGAAGAAAAAACAGAGGCAAAGGAGGTCCTACAAAGATACCATGTCTTTCTTTTCCTCTGTGTGTGCCCCGCTGACATGGCAGGTGGTGCCAGGGATAGCTCCACGCTGGGTGCATGTCCACTAATCCTGATAGGGCCGAGCAGGGCATCTGTCCGCTGATGACACCATGTCCTGGTATTGTCAGCAAGTTGTCACGTCCCATCCCGCCCTGGTGGGCGGCGCGGCGGACTAGGGGGCTGATCCGCGGCCCTACGGAGAGCAGGCGGCGCAGTGACCGCACGTCCGTTACTATAGGTGATGCGAGTTTCTTCCTGGACCGTAGTGGTTGTCGTGTGCTTCTGTCAGGATCCGTGCCCGAGGGTAAATGGCGGCGCCTACAACACTGTAAGACAAATGTCGGCATCTACAACACTGTTTGGACTCTAACATGCCTGGAAGGTCTCAAAACGCCCTTCTGGTCGTATCCTGACGGTACTTTCCTACAGACGTGCAGGGTATGGTCCTCGGTATTGCGGTTGACTTGAGTGTCCTGCCTTATCTGCGCGTGTAGTTATGAAGGAGTAGCGCTTAGACGTCGGGCGAGGCAGAGCCAGCCTTCAGATGTCGAGCGAGACGGAGTCTGCCCTCAGACGTTGGGTGAGGCGGAGCCAGCCCTCAGACGTCGGACGAGGCGGAGCCAGCCCTCAGGGGTCGGGCGAGATGGAGTCTGCCATCAGGCGAGGCGGAGCCAGCCCTCGGGGTCAGGCGAGATGGAATCTGCCCTCAGACGTCGGGCGAGGCGGAGCCAGCCCCCAGACGTCGGGCGAGGCAGAGCTAGCCCTCGGGGGTCGGGCGAGACGGAGTCTGCCCTCAGACGTCGGACAAGACGGAGCCAGCCTTCGGGAGTCAGCCTAAGGCGGAGTCAACCCTCGGCGGTCGAGCAAGACGGGGCCTGCGGCCACAGCGCCCACTGAGGCGGGGCCAACCCTCGAGGGTCAGACGAGGCAGGGCTCATGGTCTCGGTGGACGGGCGAGAAGTGACCCGGCAAGTGGTGTAGTCGCGCTCTTGATCACGCGGATGAATCAATGTTGACGGTCATTAGCACCTCCTATTCGGATACCCTTAATATTGGTCCCCGACACAGCTCTTTCATACTGATGCTGGCAGTTTTGCCCACAGCCGTCAAATTGGTGCTTATGTATTTTGTGGATGTCCACGACCCCAATGAACGGTACAACAAGAAATTCCTAGACGCTTTCTCCCTCATTGATGTTACTGTTGCCGGATACTTGATGATTCTCATAATCTGTGGTCAAATTTTCTCGATAAGCTCAGCTGTGCAGAGCATTTGTTTCGTGGTACTCTTGATACTAGTGATGTCTCCGATAGCCGTCGCTTTAGAGGCCCAGACACCACATGAGGAATCAATCTCAGAACAAAGGACTGGACAGCTCCGTGAAGAGGTCGCAGAGGATTCTGAAAATGCTACCTCCAGTACCGCACTTGGGGGATCTGACCAAGACCTGTCTGCTGGCAAAGAGAACCTGAATGTATTACAGGCCATGTGCAAACTCAACTTCTGGTTGCTCTTCCTAGCAATGACTTGCGGAATGGGATCAAGTCTGGCCACGGTGAACAATATCAGCCAGATCGGCGGCTCACTTGGCTACACGACCAAGGAGACCAGCACACTTGTGTCACTCTGGAGCATATGGAACTTTTCAGGGCGGTTCGGTGCAGGCTTCATATCTGACCATTTCCTTCGCCAGCGAGGAATTGGGAGGCCATTCTTTATAGGTGTTACGCTGCTGATCATGAGCACCGGTCATGCCATCATCTCCTCCGGTCTCCCTGCATCACTCTACTTTGGGTCGGTGCTGATCGGCATGTGCTATGGGTGTCAGTGGGCCCTGATGCCGAGCATAACATCTGAGATCTTTGGGCTGAACCATTTTGGCACAATATTCAACATGGTGGCTGTTGCGAGCCCTGTTGGGTCTTACATCCTCTCGGTGCGCATTGTGGGCTACATATATGACATCGAATCGCCACCAGATGAGCACTCCTGTGTAGGTAAACAATGCTTTGCGCTCTCTTTCATGATCATGGCCGGTGTCTGTATGTTCGGGTCTGCTGTTGCGTTTGTGTTGTTTATCAGAACAAGGAAGTTCTATAGGCGTGTCATATACGCGAGGTTGCAGTCTTTTCTAGACTAGTGATAAGTCTTCATGAAAGATGATGGTATAACTTGCAATAATGCTTGTACATGTATATTATGTGAGTATATTTGTATAAGCCTGAATATAACTTTTGGAGACTATTACATAGATGGAACATGATCTTCCACTCGTGGCCCGAACAAATATATACCTTTTACCATCGCTCTACGACTAGGATTGATGTGTGGCTCCTATACTTCTTCTGTGAATTTACGATTGAAAAGGGGAAACCATATATACTGTCTTAGCCTATATGTACATCTTGGATGGCTTTATAGCATGTACAAATGTGAGAAGAAGATGAAGTGTCACAGTTGTTTCCTGTTTCCACAAATATCAATGCCTGTTTAACCCCCTTATCCTCAGTAACTATAGATGGATGTTTTTCTCACTTTACTTTCGAGAATGTGCAATGCACGTTTTTTCTTTTTCTTTTTTATAAGAATGTGGAAGAAACAAGTACAATAGGATGATTACACGGCACTGCCTAAAACAAAGTAGAGGACGAGAGCAGGGGTTACATGAAAGAAATTTACAGAGCAACTTGATAACCTATAGCACAACCGACAGCAGGCCTTACTGTGTTATTGAACAATGAGGATTGGCCACAAAACACGGAAAAAAGGCTACTGGATTGCTTGATTTGGAGAGAGTGACACATTACATGTGCTTCTCTGAACATGAATGAACCACAACCACTCAGTCTCCTAGTGCAGTAGTGCATATAGGACACTGCATTATTCAGCTATCTTTCTCCATCACTTCACCAGTAAGCGAGCTCATTCTGTACTTGTCACTTGTCACCTTCCTTGATTTCTCCGTTGCTCATCTTGCTGTCCTTCCCTTTGTCTTTCTCTGTTTTCTGTTGCCTCCGCCGCTGCCTTGTCTTTCTCTTTGGCCTCCTTTGCCTCCGCTTCTGCCTTCTCCTTCGCCTTGGCCGCCTCAGCCAACGCCTTAGCGGCCGCCTCCTCTTTGGCTTGCTTCAGAGCCTCCACAAGACCCTCGAAGCATGCGTTAGCGTCCCTTTTCTTCTTCTTGGACATGGGCATCAGGTTCTCGGCCACATCTGCCGGCGACATGTCTGTCTCCTCGAGCAGCTGCGCTATCTGGCCGAACAGCTCGTGCTCCTTGACGTCGAGGTAGTTCTTGGCGAGCACCTTGAAGGCCCGGAAGCGGCAGTAGGACATCTCGATGTGCCTATCCATCCTGCCTCGCCGGATCAGCGCCGGGTCCAGTTTGTCCTTGTGGTTGGTTGTGAAGATGATGATGCGCTCGCCGCCGCACGCCGACCACAGGCCATCGATGAAGTTGAGCAGCCCTGAAAGCGTCACCTTCGTGCCGTCTTCCTTGTCGGGATCCGTCGGCAGCTTGGGCTTGTCGTCACTGTCTGCATCGGCCTTCTTCTCCGCCTTCGTGTCCTTGCGCTTGCCAGTGAGGTCGACGGAGCAGTCGATGTCCTCGATGACGATGATGGACTTGCCGGTTGTCTCGATGAAGAGCTTCCGCAGCTCAGTGTTGTTCTTGACCGCCGTGAGCTCGAGGTCGTAGACGTCGTAGTCGAGGAAGTTGGCCATGGCGGCGATCATGGTGGACTTGCCGGTGCCTGGGGCCCATAGAGCAGGTACCCTCGCTTCCACGGCTTGCCGACCTTGGTGTAGTAGTCCTTAGCCTCCCGGAACGCCTGGAGCTCGTCAAGGATCTCCTCCTTGTCGTCGGGGTCCATGGCGAGCGTGTCGAACGTGGCCGGGTGCTCGAACGGGACGTGGCTCCAGACGTTCTTGCCACGGTAAGAGTTCCAGCTGCCGCTGGGGTTGTTGGTGAAGAGGCGGCGCTGGCGGTTGCGGACGGTGACGGCGCGGCCTTCCTCGAGGACGTACGGCAGGTACCTGTCGACGACGAGGTCGCGGTGGCGCCGGTGGAAGACGACCCGGTAGAAGCGGCGCACTTCCTCGCCGGGGTACCAGCTGATGACTTGGGACCCGGCGAACTGCTTGCAGGCGTACCACCAGATGGTGGCCCCGGCGAAGGCGTCCGGTGACCTCGTCGTTGTCGTCGACGGAGACCTGGAGGTTCTTGCTGTTCTTGCCGAGCTCGGCCCTGAGCTTGCGCGCGCGGCGTGCGCAGGCGTCGGATAGGTAGGCCTCGACAGCAAGGTAGAAGTCGCTGCGGTGGAAGCCCTCGGCGCCGTACTCGTTGATGGTGATCTCCAGGTAGGGGCTGAAGAAAGAGACAAGCTTGTTTCCCCAAGTGCTGAGGCGGTAGCGGAAGGCGACGGGGATGTGGTTCTGCACCACGGACCAGAGGAAGAAGAAGCTTGCCAGCGCCGATCCCAGGCCTGTCCACTTGTCCATCATCGCCATGGCTTCTGACCCCGACCTTGCTCCTTGTTACTCGTACACGAGTATTAGCTAGTGGTGATTCCGTGACTAGTGAGTTCAGTAAGAGTACTCCTATATATATTCATAATGGTGGCAGGTTCAAGTAAAGTTGACTTGCAGTCAACGGCTCCCCGCTGGCCTGGTTAGTGGTTACCGTCGTCTCGTCGGAAGGAAGGAGCAGGTGAGGCGGAGCTGTCGCCGTTGTCTGGTGAATAATGTGGATTCACACGTGCGCCGGCACACGGTACAAGATTTTTTTTCTTTGAAAAAAAGATGATGTGTGGGGTCCATCCAATGGCAGGCAAATTCAAGCAAAGCTAGCAAAGGAAGAATTTGCTTTGGAAACAGAGACCGCTCAAATGCGTCATCTATATGGACCTTATTACCATTTGTCGACTATCCTTCCTTTATTATAGAAAAAGACTTAATTAGAGTACGGAACTTGGTCTAATTGGACGGATGCATGCGTGCAATGCAAGCTTCTATCATATATCCATTGTTAATGACATCTCTTGTCACCCTACTGTAAAATGCCGTTAATCAAAAGGACGTACAGCAACTGATAGTAGCATACAAAAAAGGAATTAAGATAAGAGACAAAGAAAGAAAAAAAAAAGAAAATATGAGAAACAAGGAAGATTACAACAGACTTTGGATCCGAAAATCAAATTGTGGGAGGCTCTTCTTCTTGGCTATATGCAAGAGCAAGGAAAGCTCCTTAAAGAAGTTTGACTTGCAAGCCAAAAGGTTCTAGCTGATTCGATTGAAGATCTGGTTATTCATAGCGGTCCAAATTGTCCACCTCATCAATATAGCTGCATTTGCTCCTTCGCAAGATGTTTCTGGTGCTAAGCCTGTATTTGAGAAGAAGGTAGAAAAAAGACCTTGTGTTTTTGGTTGGCAGAAGGAATTCCAAAACCATTTAAAGGAAATATTTACTTGACCATGTCCAATCAGGGACTTATAATTAAGCTTTAGCAGAGGAAAAAGAATTAGAGTTCCAGGTGTAAGTCGAAATGTCTGGGCCTTCATCTAAATGGAGATTTTCACACTTCAAGGAGAGCAACTAAAACTGAGCAAAATCCGATTTAGAGATAGCTAGGCAAGTGGAAGAGTTGCAACGCAGAATTTCTAGAGACAACCATCTTCACTGAAATAAACTTCTTTGCAAAGGAATGAAGCTCAAGTAACTCTAATCTTAAGACCTGCGAATGACAAAGATCATCCCATAGAAGACACCTTTTTCTATCCACAATTTGGACAACAGTAAAACCCTTAAAGATGTCCAAAATTTTTAGAATATCCCTCAACCAAAAAGAGCCATTTTTCACATGATTTAGTAACCTTCCATTTGGGTAAAGTTTTCCCAAATAATGCTTACCCAATTGAAGAATTTATGTAAATTTTTCATCATTAGGGCTTCATTATGAGATTTTAGGTCAATCACCCCAAAGCACCTTTCCTCCTTTGGCATACACACCATTTCCATGGCTGCCTTAGGAGGCTTTTCCGTTTTAGTCAGTTTCTCTCCAGAGATAGTGCTTTCTAAACTTGCCAATATGTTTGATGACTATAGCTTTTAGAATGAAAGTAGACATGAATAAAGTTGGGAGTGAGGAGAACACAACATTTACCAATTCTAGTCTACCGGCTTTGAAATGGAATGTTGAAGTACTGATTAGCCTTCTTTCACATTTACATATCAATGTTAAAAACTCCTCAACTTCTGGTTTGGAAAATCCCAAAAGGTAAACCTAGGTAAGTGAAAGGAAGTGATGCCTTAGAGCAACAAAACTTTTCTTTAGAGATGTTCTTCACAGATTTACTATAATTGACTGAGACTATAGTTGCTCAACTAAAGCTATGAAGTAAGGATTTTAGGAAAAACAACTGCCTTGCACATCCTTTCAAAATAATGAGGGTGTCATCTACATACCTACATATTGCACAATTGGGAAGTCTGAACTGTATTGCGAAGGAATTGGCGCATTCAGGAGGTCAATATCTTTAGATTTATTGACCAGGGATTGAAGAAAATCTGGTGCAAGAACACACAACAAACGGTGGCGGGTATGCATACATAATACATGTACACTACCTAGTAATTATAGTTTATTATTATCATTGCTATGATGCAACGGTGTTATATAGGCATACACAAATTTATTTAATTGGCATATGTGGTATTATTAGATTGGAGCATATGCTATATTATTCACATATATATACGTATCGTGTGACTTACTTTAAGTATCCTATATTGTGAACTTTTTATGATGTCTCCTGTTAGAATCACGAACACGTGCTTGTCCCCTACTAATTGTATATAGACACAAGTGTAGTGGGTGTCATCTACATACCTACATATTGCACAATTGGGAAGTCTGAACTGTATTGCAAAGGAATTGGCGCATTCAGGAGGTCAATATCTTTAGATTTATTGACCAGGGATTGAAGAAAATCTGGTGCAAGAACACACAACAAACGGTGGCGGGTATGTATACATAATACATGTACACTACCTAGTAATAATAGTTTATTATTATTATTATTATTATTATTATTATTATTATTATTATTATATATATATATATAGGGTAAGGCTATTCTGCAGTTGAC